AAAATGAAAAGTGAAAGTTCTTTCAAAGAAAAATCATTAACTTTGAAAAAAAATGTAATCAACATTTTCAATGATTTTTAATCGTTGTTAATTTTCAATTGAAAATCTTGAAATTAATTTTCACTTGAAAAAACATTAATCATTGTTGTTGTGATGATGGTAGTGGTGAAGAAAATTAAATTACAATTGAAATTCACTACTAATTACATATCAAAAATACCAATCAAACGCACAAATGAAAATGAAAATGATCACATTGTGTGTGTGATTTATTGCTGTTTATTGTTGTTGATTGGCCTTGTTATTTGTTTTGTTTGTTTTTGTTTGTTTGACTTGATTTTATTCGTTTGAATTGGCAAATTCGGTTAAGTTTTGTTTTTTATTTGCTGGCATTGATTTTGTTTCTTCTGTTTGTTGTTTGTTTGTTGCGGAAATTCTTTGAATTTCCTTAGCATCATGGGATCTTAAATAGATAGACTTGGTTATAATGAACTGAATGAGACTCGGGGTAATCAAACAAACAACAAGGAAAGGATGGATGAAAAAAGGCGACAGGAATAAATTTACCAAACAAAATGAAAGCGCCCGCTTTCTATTTTTTTCTTTCGGGTAACAAGCAAACAAACGAACGAGAAAAAAATGAAATCAATCGTTCAACAACGAAAAAGAAATTCGTCAATGATTTAAATCAGATTTTATTTCTAGGGATCTTATCAAACAAAAAATGAATGATTAATGATTGATTTGGATATTGATTCCCCATTCTAGTCAACTCAAGTTGCAATTTCATATTCAAGTTTAATTAGTAAAAAATAAATATTCATCAAACACAATAATTAATGTTGGTTGTTGTTGTTTTCTACCATTTTCATTTCTCATTGGATTTCAACATTCACTCCACCGGTATTGTCAATCATATAAGTTAAATAAGTTGAACGAAAAACTTGTATTTGATGAAAAAACAAATACATACTAATTATGCAAACTAATGATGATGACGAATAAATAAATAAGAATTTTGAATCAAGTTTTCTTTCTCGTATTAGTCATTTTTTTGTTGAATCAAATTTTTTCCAAAGATTCCCTCATCTCTCTGGAGATCTCATTTTATTGATGTTGTTGTTGATGATCAAAATAGTCAGTCAGAATAATTGACTTTGAATTTTTTTCAAAAAAATATCTGATGTCATAATTAACGATATTGTTAAAAAAAACAAAAAATTTCAAAGATGATTTCGAGTCAACTATAAAATCAAGCATCTCAGGAGATCATCCATCTCTCGTCATCAAGCCTAAAAAAGCTGATTTTTTCCATTCGATGAGGATTACGTGACCAAAATTTTTCAAAACTCTACATTGATGATGATGATAAGTTCATCATCACAAGCACCATAGATATTTTGCTTTGAAACTCAGATTTATAAAAAATGAAAAAAATGAAAATTAGCAAAGTTTATTTTGGCAAAACGAAATTGACGATGAAAAAAATTGAATTTTTTGAAATCCCGATGATGATGGTGATGTAAATCTTGTTTCTGTATTTCTGCTTTTCTTTTCTTTTAATTTCAAAATTAATATCAAAATGAGATTTTGTCTTTCGTTTCGGGATCCAATTACATTTCAATTTCGGAGAGAGAGAGACTAAGAATATTTGTCTAATACCCAGATTCGATTTATGTTCAAGGTTCTTTTACTGTGAAATTGATTACATGCATTATTCTTCAACCAAAATGAATCTCAAAATGGATTCAATTTCAATTTGGAATATACAAATAACCCCTTTTTAACCATTTTAATCATTGAATATCCTTAACTTTCCAAGCAAATTTGAATATAGAATATTCTCTATTTCTCATTTTATTTCCCTTTCGCTCATCACCATCAAGATTCTCAAGGATGATGATGAATGACAATTCTTATGTCCCGGAATTTGAATCGAATCAAGCAAACACTCCGGTTCCGTTTGATTTTTTTGGTTGGCGAAAACAACAAACATAAATGATAAAATATGAAATGATTATTATCAATATTAATATTATTATTCAAAACTTGTCTTCTTTCATTATTATTCGGCAAACGGCATAGATAGACAAACGTACCAAACAAACAAACAAAATTTTGTTTTTACCTCTTTGTTTTGTTTTGTTTGTTTTTGTTGTTCAATTGAATTTGTTTTGTTTGTCGATATTCAAGTTGTATTTGGATTCTTGCGAACATATTTCCGTATTTTGTTTGTTAATGCAATGCGATGATAGTGATTTTTCATTGATGATTCCGATAGTGACCCAAACCCAAACAAACAAGCAAACAAATATTAGATAAATAAAGATGTCATTTTTTCATTCGGGATATTGAAGAAATAAGAAACGTGACTCTTGTTGTTGTTGTTGTGAATGAATGTGTTTGATTATGATGATGATGATTATCATTTTTGATTCATTTCATCATACACTGTTTGTGTTTGATGATTGAATGGATGAGAATAGAAGAAAAGATGTTTTCTTTTTGCTTTGTTGTCGTCTTCGAAGCCCGGATGTTTGATGAAACAATATCCATCATTTTCCGGTATTTTCTTTCATTTATGGCTGGAATTCAATTGTGAAAGCTTATTTGGTTTGGATAAAAGCGAATTACAAATCAGAATTGATTTATTTTCGTTTATTGTTGTTGTTTTGTGGTGAAAATGTTTCAAATTTGTTGAATAATTTTTCTCATTTGAATGATGATAAATTTATCAAAACGAAACAAAATTAGAGAAAATTTTGAAAAATGATGAATGCAAAAAAGCTAATTATTAAATCGTTATCATAAGAAAAAACAAACCGGATGATGATGCGTCGACACAAAAAAAAACATTTTCATTCAATGAAAACGAACGTAGGACGAAGAACCACATTAAAGGCCGAAATAATTATGCTAATTTGATGACTGGAAAAAATTGGGTTTCTTTTTCTTTGCTGGTGTTTGACCATGATGATGAAATGATCCTCGTGTTTTCTTCATCAAAAATAAAACAGTATCCAAAATGGTTGGTTTTCACTCTCATTCAGTCAGTCAGTCGTTGAATGAACGCTTCAATGAATTTTCCGAATGTTATTTTTTTCACAAAAAATACCCACTAATATGACCACCAAAATAACAAACAACCAAAACAGCGACCAGACCAGAAAAAAAGAAAACGTGAGTTGAGATATTAATAGTACCAATCATCATCAACAATTGTATAGAGATTCTTTTTGGGTCTTGTTGTTGTTGTTGATTTTTCATATATTCTTTATTTGTCGATTTCTCATCATCCACATTCATTCAAACAACAGTTCACACTCATTTCATATACATTTTCTTTTTTCCTGTGTGATGATGATGATTTGTCGATTCAATAAAGAAACAAGAAAAAAGTAGTTTCTTCGACCGACCGACTAATTGAAACCTCAATCAAAACACGAAAAAATCCTTCCAATTTATAAATAGTTTTTTCTCTCGGTGTGGATATAGTGTGTGCGTGGAAATAATAATGACGATAAATGATAAGATTCATAGTCCGACTATTTTCATCCGAGTATAGTTCATATTCTTTTTCCGTTTCCAAATATATTACTACTGGAGGAAATAACTCAAGCACACAACCAGAGAAAAACTGTTAAAAAATCGATAAGTTTTCAACATTTTGTTTCTCGTTTGGTCTATGGTGGTGGTATATAATCATATAATGATAATGATAATAATGGATCATCATTCTAACCAAAGAGAAATATGAATTGAAATAGACAAAAACTGGATACATTTTTCACACTTTTTTATTTGATAGAACCCTTTTTTCTCATATCTTTTTCATTCTGGATTTTTTTCGGTGTGAGAATTGTGTGCGAACGGATTGTTATAGCCGCAATGTTGGTCGAGAAATCGATCCACGAAAAATATTTTTTAGGTCATCCATAGTAATGATGATGAAGATTTCGATCGACAAATCATCATCATCCAAATCTATGCTATATGCAAATCGTTTTACATTTATTTTCCGTTTTTTAGTTTCAGGATGCTAAACAAAAAAATCAGTATCACCATCATCATCATTATGACAATGACAACAACAAACCTTCGAAAAATTCCGACTTCATTACAACAACAATGATTAAACATGAATAATGATGATGATCAAGTGATGTTTAGTGTTGAAACAGGAACTTTTATTCAGCAATCATCATCATCATTCTGATTGTTATGTCATCACCACATCCATGTTGAAAATGATGATGATGTGACCGAAACTATATTTCATTTTGAAAGGTCGATTATGATCGATATAGTGGAAAATCTACATTATTATCATTATTATTATTAGCCTATATGAATGGATGCATGATAGTTTTATTTGGTTCTGCTTGCTTGTTAGTCAGCTAACTAACTACTATTGATGATGATGCTCGAAAAAAGTGAAATTCCCGTGTTGTTTGTTTTTCATCTTAATTGAAGAAAAGAAAAATAACAAGGTTCCAGCAAAATCATTGTTGTTGTTCACAGGTTGCTCACACTATTAATTATTTGACAAAAAATGAAAAAAGAATCAAACCAAATAAAAAATGAAAGTTCATTAGCGGAATAGTTCTTCAAAAACAAATTGTCAAATTTTTCGATAATCAACTTATTTTCAACAAAACTCAGACATTTATTTGAGTTAATCTTGAAGATCAGATCTGCCAAATGATAGAAAAACAAACAGACAAAATTGAATTTGAAAATTGGATGATTTTTATCATCACTTGATTTTCAATTCAAATTGTGGCTGCCAAAAAAAACAATGTTTTTTCTCCCACATATCACTTTGTTATTCGATAAAATTCAATCAAAAATGCTAAATGATTGGAGGATAAATTTACAGTTGAATTGAAAGTGGAAACAAAATTTTATTTCATTTTTTATTGTCAAAAAGTTAATAGTGGAAAATATGATTTGATTTGATCAATTCCAAATGGTATTCAGTGCATGACAGGAATTTTCTGGTCACAATATGGTGCCTTTTTATTTAAGATCATTTTGCGCCATCTATCGGTTGCAAATGGGTTCAAGTTATTTTTGATCTTTTAGTCTGTCTGTTGTGAAATAAAGTTTTGATCAAGCATAATTATTGGAAGCAACACGCATTCGACGTAAATCGATTACAAATAAAACTGTCGTGGCAAAAATACCAAGACGAATGAGAAAAGAAACCCAATATATGGGCTGGGTGAATAGTCTAGTGAAATTGATTATCAATGATATTAGAGAGAATATTGAATAAGTAAATGATAGACAATAATTCTCTTTCAATGCACCAAACAAACCGATCGATGAAATGGCAATACTGAATAAGCTAATGATGCCAACAGCAATGATGACAGCTTTCTATCAATCAATCGAAAAATTATCAATTAATCAAGCAATCTTTTTTCGTATTTACCTTAGCTGTCTCCACTTTAATATCAGGATGTTCTCTATGTGTTTCTTCGGCCACTTCTTCAGCAAGCGAGCAAACAATAATGAACATAATTATTGTCCATATTATCGATATAGATGTCAATGTTATTAAACCATATTTTCGCCATTTAAATCCTGGTGATGGGTCCATTTTGTGTTTTCTTCTTTTCAAAACTTATCAATATAATCTGCTTGCTTTCAAATGATGTAAATGAAAATGAAACAAATAGCACCAAATGTCAGGAATGACAAATCAAAAAATGTATTTTATATTAAAAATAAATTTGAAAATAATTTACAATCGAAAAAATGTTGTTATATTAAATGTCAGTTGTTAGATTGCTAATTATCACTATTATCATCAATGTTGGTTTTGTATGCAATCTGTGGGAGTTTTTGGTTAAATATTTTCTTTTGTTGTTTGCAATATTTGATTTGATTTGATATTGTAAATAATAGAAAAATAGATCATAGCTATCAATTTATTGACTCAAGGATTTTGCTAGATAAGCAACTTCAACTTATTTATTCAATTATTCAAAAATTTACAAATTAAAGTCGAAAAAAGAAAAGGACAACAAGATTAGTACAAAAAAGAAACATAAAAAACACTACTCGTCGAAAATTTCGTTGTTATCAATATCGACATCGTAATCACCCCTTACATTGATTTGATATGATGATTGTTAAGCCTGTTGTGACTCGCTTTTTATATGTTTTCTTGATAACCTTTGAAAAATAAGTTCGATTATGGGCGGTCTCTAAGAAATCGCGCGCTTTTGCTCGTGTTTGACGGTTGAAGATCCTTATCGCGAAATCGGTTGAAATTTTTTCGAATTTACAGTTCTAAATTTTGCAACATGGACGAAATTGTACGTCTTTTGAAAAACAATTTTATTTAATTTGGGATCGTAAAAAATTGAAAATACAATCGTTTAAATAATTGGTGTTGATGTTGTATAAAATCTGTTGTTGTGTTTTTTGTTGATGCGTTGATGTGATCAGAACTGATTGTGTTCGATGTTTTTTGATGGAAAAGATGATCAATGTGATGTGTTTTTGTGTGGTTGTGTTGTTTGGCGGTTAATTTTTAAACAATGATTCATTTTTCGACGTATTGATGGCGCTGTTCGATTGTTTGATTTTTTCCAATTTCGTAACAGCTTTCAAATGAGTTTTGAATTGTTTAATCCATTTGAATCACGATCGTTATTAGAATATTATTTCAATTAGACAGAGTCTTGTTTTATGGAAAAGACATGATATTTTCGTTTAGAAAACAGGAAAAGATGAATTTGTTATTGAATTTTTGTTTGTTAAATCATTATTAGTTGTACGATTTTTTTGGTTTAAATCCATTATAATAAAAATTAATGTTATGAAAAGGGCTAAATAAATTATGAAAAGTATCGAATAAATTGGAACAAAAAATATTGCCACAAAATACGATATCATCTTTATGCAACTGTATATGGAATAAGTGATTGATAGACAATAGATCTCCATTATAGTACCAAACAAACCGATCGATGAAAAGACAGTTACCAAAATGAAACCCAACCAAATGAAAGAGAATAGATCAATCTGTTTTAGAAAAATAATAATTGTCATGCCAAAATAAGAAAATAAATTTCAATTATCAATTTCAGATAAAAGTAATTCATTATTTCAAACTTACATTCCATGTCGATTGGTGATTAACTTTGATTATCAAATAATCAGCTTTATTTTTATTTGAAATGACCATGATCAATTCAATTAATTTCCATAGAATCGATATGAGGGTCAAAATAACGACGCAACATTTTTTCTGTTTGAGAGATAGCCATTGTCTAGTTGTTGGTGTCTTCATTTTTCTTTTTCAATAATTTTGCTTCAAATCAGAAATTTGGGTTCGATTAGCAAACGAAATAAACCGCAAATCAAAAGTGGATACAATAATTTTTTTTGGTGAAATTCAACGAAATTGTGTTGAAATTGAAAATGGCAAGTGGATCGGTGGATTGAAATCCTTTTTATATGATTTCTGTGTTTGACCGAATAGATTTTCTACAAAGCTATTCCAATATTTATTACTTGCTTCGATTGAGTATTTCATCAGATCATCTTTCAAATAGTTTTCTTTTTGAATTTTGAAAACAAAACATTTTTCATAAAAAATGACGTGATCGAATTTTGGACATTGTATTATCTAATAAATTTTTGGCTGGATAAGAACATTTCAATTTGAACATGCAATGATAATGAAAAATTTTAATGCATCCTCGCAAATATCATGTTATGCCAACACAATGCCAATCAACCATTCATTCATGATTGCATCAACAAAAAGCAAAATTAATCAATCAATCCAACATGCAAATTGTTGTGATTGAATGGTATTTGAATAGTAAATATAATTATTATTATGGTTATTATTATAATATTTGTTGGTTATATATCATTTTGGTTAAAGAATGAATGAACAAAAACAAGTGATAGATTGATATAGATAAGCACGATTATTCCACAGAATCTAATGGATTGATTGAATGTTGTCGTTTCATTAGGTTACGTAGATCCATTATAAATGAAGCCAATATGAATAATACGATCACATGTACAGTTACATTAATCCAAAAAAATAGACGAAAATCTGTCATAGTCATGGTAGTCATAAAATCAATGAATGTCAATGTCAAATAGATAACCGAAAGGGCATAACTTTCTTGCAATGCACCAAACATACCGATGAATGAAAAAGCAATGGCAATACTGCACATTACCGATGTGACAATAATCAATGTTCGCTATATGATCAATTTGAAGAAAATATTAGTCAGCAAAACTTGATCAATTCATCAACATTTACCTTAGCATATTCCACGGGAATCTCTGGATGTTGTTCATGAACTTTTTTAGCCAGTTCATCATCCGACACAACAACAGTGACGAAGGTGCTCAATGCTATTATAATCGAGAGCAGAGTCAAAAAAATGATTGTATATTTTTTGCAAAGAAATCCTGGTGGTCGTTCCATTTGGATTATCGTTTGTTTCGATGATCGTCCAATGAAGGTTGAAAACAAAACAGAATTTCGAAATTTCAAAATAGCTATTTCAGAATTGATATAAATTGGAAAAACTCTGAATAATATGTTTGTTTCATTTTGATTCAATCAAACTAATGAAATTTTCTTACAAGATTTCATTATAATTAGTTGGTGTGAAAAGTGAAACAATAATTGATGCTTGATAATAATTAATTTGTTGTTATTATTAGAATAGTGAATTTTATTGATTATATCAACATTATTATTATATTTATAAACTACAGAAATGTTTTGATTAAAGAATGAATGAAAAAACAAGTGAGAGATTGATATAGATGAGCACGATTATTCCACAGAATCGAGTGGATTGATTGAGTGTTGTCGTTTCATCAGTTTACGTAGATCCTTTATAAATGAACACGATATCAATAATACGATTACATTTGCAGCAACATGCAATTTCAAAAATGGATGAAATGCTGTCAAAGCAATCGAAGACATCAAATCAAGAAATGTTAGTGCCAAATAGATAACCGAAAGGGCATAACATTCATCCAATGCACCAAGCAAACCGATGAGTGAGAAAGCAATTTGAATACCGCACATCGACGATATGTACACAAACACCATTCGCTATATGATTAATTTGGAGAAACAAAAACGAAATTATTAGTGAACAAAACTTGATCAATTCACCAAAATTTACCTTATCATATACCACAGGAATCTCTGGATGTTGTTCATGAGCTTTTTGTAGGACATCATCTAAGTCATCATAGGACACAACAACACAAACAAACAAAACCAATGCAATTATAATCGAAATCGAAGTATAACAAATGATAGCAGTTTTTTTGATGAGAAATCCTGGTGGTCGTTCCATTTTGATTATCGTTTGCTTCGATGATCTTTCAATGATGGTCGAAAACAAAGCAGAATTTCGAAATTAGAATCAGGTATTTTTGAGTGGATAGAAATTAGAAAAGCTTTTCAACTTGTTCTGCAGAGAAACAGTGATGAAATGATAGGAAATGGAAATTGACACTGTGATGATGAGTCAAACACTTGACAATGGTTTCGAGTTGCATATTCAGAAGAAAATGCTGGAAAAATACAAACCATTCATATACAATGTATGGCAGTGAAGTTTGATTCAATCAAATTGAATATTTTTTGTGAGAAAATTGAATAAATTTATTATTATCATTTATTTGGTTAGTATGAGGAAAATGAAAATTACATATTTTTCAAAACAACAGTTTGCTTATTTTATCCAGTTGATTCCAATAATTTTGGACTTGATAAATGAGGTTGAGGTAAATGACGTAAATCACGTAAATCTTGAATAAAGAAATAGGTTAGGGCGATCAAGATCACATCGATGATTAATGATGATAATGTACCAAAAGATGTTCTATAGCTGGCCATAGAAGCTGTAGTAACCAAACCGATAAGGTTCAATATCAAAAAAGTAACTGAAAGTGGATAACTTTCATAAAAAGCAGCGAACATACCGATAAGAGAATAGGTAAATGTATAGCTAATTAGAATGCTCATTATCAACACCCATCCTTGCTATATTTTTTGGGAAAAAAGATTATTCAATCAATTTCAACCACAACAAACGATTGATTCATATTTACCGTAGCATTTTCGGCAGAAATTTCTGGCTTTGTTTTATGAATTAGTTTACCCACTTCATCTTTTGTGATAAGGATATAAATAAAAGCGGCAACTGATAATACCATGCCAAATGCTGTTAAACACATGATGGCATGTTTTTTGCAATAAAATTCTTCCAATCGTTTCATTTGAATTTGTTGAGAGGGTGAACATTTCATTACATTTGATTGATTCATATCGGTTTGATTCGATTGAATCATGATTGAATCGGATGGAATTGTTGACTGCTCACTTTCGGACATGATTCTCAAACAAAGATGCTAATGCAAAATGATTCCCTCACCAATTTGAGTGAAACCGTCTATATCTACCGAATTGGCTTTCGAAATTAGAATCGATCAAACACAAATGATTCATAAATACTATTTACTTGACTATTTTTGCTTTATTCGATTTAATTTAGCCAAAAATTAATCTAATCAATAGGTTCAACATGGTGATTTAGCGATTTTGGAAAAATGG